TATTATATATAAAATAATTATTTTATATTATACATTTATAATTAGCATATATTTATAATTTATGATCATTGCTGAATATTATATGTAACGAATAATTGACGATAGGCCATTGAATTATTAGACGATAATGCACATTTGAGGTGGTGAGGCAGCCATGACATGAAGCGGTCATTTTTATCCTATTGTTTACTGTATTTATTTGCTTAAGTGTGGTTCTGTTATTTTTATGTTTGTATGTATGTATGTATGTATTTATTTTTTGCTGTTGTAGGCTGTAAGGACCTTTGAAATAAATGAAATTATTTGGCAATATTTCTGCCAAGCGATGTAGTTGTTGGCTTGGCTCATTTCATAACGACTTTGAACATGGATTGTCAAATTAGAATTTTAAATTGAACAATTTTAATCAATATAAAATAATATTTAATTATTATAAATAAAAAAATTAAAAGTATTAAAAATGATTTTAAATTACACATATAATATTTGTTATTTGTATTTAATATTATACATTTATAATTATAATATATTTATAGTTTATGATTATTTTTGAATATTATATTATATTATCTGAACTGTTGGCTCATTTTACAATGACTTTGAATATAGTTCGTCTAATCAGTAGGAACTATCAATTTTATAACAGGAAACTCTTACTGTTTAATCCAATCTGGGTTTGGTTTAGTATTGTGCAGTTACATATATTGCATTTCTGATAATTCCCATTCTCTTAATTCCACATGTGTGATCACTACCTTACCATGCAGGGCAAAGAGGCACGGCGGTCAGCTTTGTTGCGCGAGGGCCTCCTAAAACTCCTCTTCCTTTCTTTGGCGTGCTCCTCCCCATGCCCCCAGTAACTGCTCATCCACTTGGTGAAGTTCCCATCATCGTCCTCGTCATTGTCCATAGTAATCGCGGGAAGCAGCCGAAGAGACAGCTTGGGAACTGGTGTGCGGAGCTCTCGGTGAGGCTCCTGTCTCCTGCAAAGAAAAAACGCACCAGGCTGCAGCCGGCGTACGATGATCCAGCTGGGTCAGACGAGGCTGCTGCTGATGTTGTCCTGGAGCTTCTGAGGAACTCTTTAGTGGAAGGCAATGTGAGGTCCAGACTCCAGACTGTGTAGGATGGGCTGGGTTTGGCTTGGTAGGTTGTAATTAGATTCCTCCAGTTAGGTGCTCACAATGTGTGGGTTTAATTGCTCTAAGCCGACCCAAAAATATGCACACACAGCTTTTGTCGAAGTCTTTAAATAAGTGAATCCCCTGTAATCTATTTAACATGAGAGAGGGAGGAGAATATAATATAGAGGCGGGAGGGAGGTATAGGAGAGAGAGGGCGAGCTGGATAGACAATGACAGAGAGAGAGAGAGAGAGAGAGAGAGGGAGAGGGAGAGGACGGTGTTTTTGGGTTGGTGCTCTGCTTTTAATCTTTCCATTACAGAGCAGTGGGCCTGGGGGTGGAAGGGAGGGTGGGAGTTAGTCACACACTCTGTGCAACTCCAATTCTCCCATACTTTCCACTCACTGAGCACATCAAACCTGTCAATAATTATGGACTACTGCAGGCGAGAACCAGTATGTGTTAGAGAGTCAGTGTGATCATGTATTTATGCTTCAGTACTGTCTGACAATGAGTAGAGTAAGACTGTTAATCAATGCAGATGGCATCCATCGAATGCAATGGCTAGACTTTGTTCTAATCATGACAAATGCTTTGCAGTATAACCACTAGGGCAGCAATATCAGTTGGGTAACAGTTGAAGCCTTTATAAATCATTATATAGGTATATATAATGTATGTTGTAAAGTATTATATCTTTTCATTAATAACTGTAACCAAAGTTGAAATGCATTGTAATATGCAGATTCTTTGTTATATCTGAAATTGGTTGTTTGTTATGTTTTTAATGCATTATATGTCATGTTTTTAATGCATGATCATTTCTAAAGCTAATAGGTACTGTAAGTATTATTATTATAACTGCGGTTACAATGATTTGTAATATCATACAGTGCATTATAAGGTGCATTACATTGCATTAAAACACTTTTATAAGACATTATATAAAGGCTTTAACCAAAGTGTTACTGAAGATATTTTGAACAGCTTTGGATCCCATTTTTTTAATATCTTTTGTGTTGCACAGAAGAAATGCATAGCGGTTTAGAACAAAACGAGGGTGAGTAAACAACAACATTTTATTTTTGAGTTAACTATCCTTTTAATACATAATGATTCCCAAATTAATCATTAATCATATCCGATTATGTGTGCTCCACCATATATTTGCAAAATGCACAACATTTAGCCATTCACAAATTAGCCTCACTTTCTAAATTTTGCAGCTGCACGTTCAATAGCCCATGTATTTTCAGCTGACCCCATTTTAGAATATGATAAACCCCCTCCCCTTCAGGAAGAAGCAATATGGGGCACACAGCAACCACCCTCAAGCCTCGTCTACTGTCCTGCTCCAGTTGTTCCCACCGCTGGACTCTGGGGCAGCAGAGCGTACAGTATGAGAGGCCAGAGACACTGATGATACACAACACCTGTGGCCATGTCTGTTTGATATGTCAAACAGGATCAATGCACGCAAAGCTCCGGGTCCTGACAACATTCCTGGGCGTGTACCTTGCCCTTAATCAGAAGGGTAGTGTTGTTGTGTGAACTATGTGAATTCTGGGTCACACTACGCCTATTTATTTATGTTATTCCTTGTGCTCAGCAAAGAAAATGACCTGCATTAGTCATGACTAAAACAGATCTGCTGAATGTACATATGGGTGCAACTTTGGATTCTAACATTGTACACAGGAAAATTCTTTATTTTTTTCTTTTGTGGAAATTCCTTTGTCTAAGGCAAAGGCAATTTTCATAGCTAGCATTTTATGTATAAATACAAACACACACACACACACACACACACACAAGGAAAACAGATTTACTAGCTTTTTTGTCCCCACAAGGTCAACATTTTCAAAATTGACTGGTATTATCCTTGTGGTCCCCATAACATAGAGAATACCAGTACACAAAGACAGAGAGAGAGAGAGAGAGAGAGAGAGAGAGAGAGAGAGAGAGAGACTTAAGATTTAAAACTCTTTCAGAGAGAGAGAGAGAAGAGAGAGAGACAGAAAGTAATATTGTGAAATATTTTTACAATTTAAAATGAGTTTTTTATTTTAATATCTTTTAAATTGTAATTAATTCATTTTATTAAAAAGCTGAATATCAGCAGCCATTACGCCAGTCTTCAGTGTCACATGATTATTTAGAAATCATTCTAATATGCTGATTTGGTGCTTAAGAAACATTTTCAATTATTATCAATGTTGAAAACAGTTGTGCTGCTTAATATATATTTTTTGTAACAATGTAAAAGTCTTTACTGTAACAATTTAGTGCATTCAGTGCTAAATAAAAGTTTTAATTTCCTAAAAAGAAAGAAAGAAAGAAAAAGAATAGAATAGAAGTGATAGAATCTTTGAACAGAAGAGCATATAAGTGTATACACGTGTGTGTGTGTGTGAATAATATGAATAAAAGTACAGTATAAAAAAGAGCTGAAGATAATTTCATAATTTAACATCAGCCCAAAACTAAGAAATTACTGTAAATATTATGTTCTTCGATAGACTGTTTCTAACAGAAGAAAAAAAAAACATTGTAGCTCCTTATCCAATAAATGTAATTAAAAATATACAAAATGTGATCTCTCAGGTGTTGCAAGTATTGTGATTGTGTCAGAAAGACCTGTTGTCACCTTTGGGTAATGGTTTTAGACTAACCCAACCCTTGAGGACTGTGTCCTTATACATACACCAACACAAGTTGCTTCTAATCAAATAATTCTGAATGACCATCTCTTTAGCTATTCAAGGATCTTAATCTTATTATCCCGCTATCCTATGTAGGTATTCACATAATTTAGATTATAACACTCTTAAGGGTTTAAAGCTGATTCGTGAATCATATTTTATGTGGATAACAAGTAAAAGAGGCCTTTCAGTGTTGAGTTGAGTGTGACCGAATACAACTACTTCTTGACAAAAAGAGCAATTAAACATGGATGAATACTGTATATTATTAAAACAGTCTTGTCCCCAGTTTCAATGCAAACCTGGATGAAACTGATTTATTTGACTACATAAAGGCCCCTCTGTTTGTGGTTCTATTTCAGGTGTTTTCTTACACTAAAATAGCCCATATTCACCTATCTAAAAAAAAAGCAGAGAGGACAATATTTGTTCTTGGTTTCTAAACAGAGCTCTGAATAATGAACTTAAGGTCCAAAAAGGACAGAGTGTTTCTAAAATGGGAGCCAATCCTGGTTGTGTTCAATCATATGTGCAGTATAAGCAATTGTCTGGAGGTCACATATACAATCCGAGGTTTGATGACAACAGCATTTATATGTGGGAATGAACTCCTTTCTTTGTATGGAATACAGGAGTCAATCCTGAAATTGCAAGTAACAATAGTTTACATAGGAGCAATGGTGTATGTAATATGAATATATTTTCAGTGTGTGCATCAGATTTTGAGTTTTGAAGGGCCTTAACCTTCACTGAAAGATGAGTGAAGAGACCCTGGCACTTATAGGCTGAACGTATACAGGGAGACAGCAGCCTTGGCCCTGTCTCATAACTGCGTTACTAGTGCAAACACAAATTGATCATGTCTCGTGTTCTAGCCAAGAGCTATGATTGATCTAAACTTGCTATGGCAGTGTGCATTCAATTGACATTTTACATCATGTATCAACCAGAGCGCCTAGACAGTGTAGCAGACTTTTTTGACTACTGAACATGCACACTGTTTTGAAATCTGATTTTTGGAAAATGTAAAATCAAGCTTGTATTTTAATCAACATATCTATGAGGAGCCTATATATAATATATAAACTAAAATCTACATATATGTGTGTGCTTCATATAACAGCAATTTCTGAGTGAAAACTTGTTTCTATCCCCCCCCCCACTTTCATACAATAGGCAGTCTATAATATTTCAATATTGTGGCATCATCCAAAGAGGTTACATGATAAGCACATGCAATGGGCCTGAAAAACTTGTCTATACACTATTCATAGTCCAGAACCAGAACAAAGAGCACCACCAGTTTAATAAAATTTGACCTTGTCACAGTACAGTCTTTGTTCACCTGACAGGGGGCATTCATTACAGAAAATAATATATTCCATCTTTAGCTTACCTTCATCAGTGAGAATGACTGAAGTTTTAATTCTAAAGTCATTTTGGTAAATCTTAAGTTTCAGATATAAAGGTTAAAGCCAGTCGGTCAATAGCATCTATCCATTTTACACTGTCACATATGTCCCTCTAGTGGAATATATTTGTACTGCAATCATAAATAGAACTTTACCTTATTCTTATCCAAGTAATCTCAGAAGGATTGCCTATTAATTGGACTTGATTAAGTCTTGTAATATCCTACTTTATTGTTGACCTTTGTAGGTTTCATTACCCTCTTAATAAGCAAAGATTTTAGTAAATAAAGAATGCTTAATTTAAAACGAAGGAAACGCATTTAGGAAATGCCATGTCTATATACTGTGATGAAATCATATTAATCAAATATCTGACTGCTACTTAAAGCTACTTTATTTGTGAGAATATAATGTAATTTATAAATCATTGAGTTTTGGTGGTGTTTTATCTTTTATCTTATTTTTTAAATGATATTGCATATATAAATAAAAAATAAGTCAAATAAAATAAATAAATAATAAACAAAGTGTTGCAATTCTGTAAACAGAGAATATGAACATTAAGTAAACTAAGCCTAGCTTTTTTAGTTTCTCTTTCACGTTTCAATTGCAAATAAACTACACTGCAGTGAATTGCATCATAAAACAAAAAGGGAAAGGGAAAATACAAACATGTAAAAAAAAAGTACACCTCAATTAGTAAGAAATATAAGATAATCATAGCCCTTAAGGTATTTGTTATTCTAATTCTTGTTTAAGAGATTTTATAGTATGGGAAGTCTCAGCAAGAAACACTTCAAATATAGGCAAAGTGTTAAGAAATTTGTGAAAAAAAAAAAAAAAAGAAATTAATAAAATAAATTAATAATACACAGTTACTGCCAGAAAAAGAAAAGTTTAATTTCATTTTATAAAAATAGATTGATAGACCAGTTTAATGACGCGATTAAAAGTCCTTGTGACTCTTATCTTTTTTTTTTTTTTTTACTTTTATTTTGAAAACATGACGTCACGCTGTGGACCAGGAACTACTTTCTTGACGCTGGTGATCGCCTGCTTGTATGCCCTTGTTAGCCACGCAGCTAACCTAAGTGCCCCATTTGGAAAGAT